TACAAATATAAGGTGTCATTTTTTATTACAAAGAATGAAGTCGTTGAAAGCAGACTAGAGAAAATAATGCAATTTAATCCATTGCTCTGTACTCTTGCCAGATGCAAAGGCATTTGAAATATGGCAGACAGCAGGAATTTTCATGAAATAAGCAAGCATCATTTACTAAATAAATGAGCCATGCTCCAGAGAGGTGTGCTTGTACTTAAAATATTTATATTGTCAGTATTTTATTTTGTAATAGTAGTGTTTCTGGAAGCTTTAGAGTGGAATTACCTAAGGTGGTTGTTAAAAATGCACATTCCAAGGCATCTCCAGCCCTTCTGAAGGCTGGAATCCTGCTTTTCTTTTTATATACTGCCCAAGGGATTCTCAAGGACACAAACATTTAAGATTGAGTACAATATGGAACAACTCCCAAGATAAGTCAATTTGAGTTACAAGGATTTTACTCAACGTGGAGTTTCATGTAATAAATTGCTGTGGTTTATGAGGCATTTCTTCTTATTTATGAGAACAAGGTTAGATTTTGCACCCTACATGAGCTGCTGAGTGCCACAGAACGATAGCCATCATGAGATCATCTGCAGCTGGTGCATAATCTTATCCTAGAGGCTCCAAGGTACATGAGGGCAACCATCTATCTCATCATCAGCTCCACTGCATCCAGGGACTTCTTTTTTCTTGTTTTCATTTTGCTATAAAATTGCACTTTCCTAAATACAGAGCATCCCTTCCAAGGTTTATTTGTAAGCAATATTCTTTAACATAATAACTGTGAAAGAGAGCAGGTAACAGCTTGTTTTGCTACTCTGTGATAATTAGTGTTCACCAAGTTAACTACTGTCCTTGGTTTTCTATTGGCATAAAGGGTATTGATTTGGAGTTCAAGAAAACATTAAGATGTTGTTAATTATGTTTTCAATGTCTGAAATTCTGATTGCTGGGAATTTTTCCAGAAACAAATAATCCTTCTAAGGTAAGGACAAGACTCATTTCACAAGTTACTTCAACCCTTCTATTACATTTTTGAAGCAGTTAATTTAACTATTTCACTTTGTTTTCACATGAAAATGCGACACAAGCCTCAAGAGTTCCAGGAAAACAATTTCATCCATAACAATACTGTGAATTGTGATAAGCCATATAGTTTAGTTACACACCCAAATTATAAAGAGCAGGGCAGAATCTCGTACAGATGAGAGGCAGGCAAACTGAGGGGAAGCAACCTGCCTCCTAAGAATAGCAATTGATCAAGAAAACTTTCTATGCATCAAGAAAGCTAAGGTCTATTCATATGTTTCTCATCTGATACTCACATTAACCTAATGAGATCAGTATTATTTCTACTTACACATGAGGAAATGGAGGCACAGACTAGTAAATTATCTAAGATTATACAGTTGGTGAATAACAGAGCTCATGAGTTTAAAATTCAGCTTTTAGAAAATATGTATTTTTTATTGCAGGGTCTTTAGTGTTTCTCTGCTAACATCCTCAAAATCATGTCTGGTCAACCTATATCAAAATCAAGAATTTACTGACTAAATCATAGTCATGATAAATGCAATGATATAAATGATCATGTTTGATATACTGGCTTAGGGAAAATATTTCGTGTGTTTTTCCTGAGGTGGTCAACTTAGAATTGACAAGGATATGTCAGTAAGAAGCTGCTGAAATGTATACAGTCTGAGAAAAAAAAAATCCATGTACTTCTGAAGTAGAACATGATACTACCTGCATGTTCTCACTTACAAGTGGGGGCTGAACAATCAGAACACATGGACACAGGGAGGAAATTAACACACACTGGGGCCTATGAGGGGGCCAGGGGAAGGGAGAAAGTATCAGGATAAATAGCTAATGCATGTGGGGCTTAATACGTCAGTGATGGATTGACTGATAAGTACAGCAAACCACCATGGCACACATTTATCTATGTAACAAACCTGCACACTCTGCATCTGTTATTCTGGAACTTAATATTGAATTTAATTTAAAAGAAAATGGTGCTACAACAGTTTCTTTGCTCATTCAACCAATGTTTCCAACAAACCTACAAAGTGCCAGGCACTGAAAAAGGCATCAGGAATATAAACAAGAACAAAATGCTATGGAATATAAGTAAATAAACAATAATAATTTCCCCAAAAGGATAGCTGAAAACAGGGAGGTTTTAACAGAATAGAGAAAATTGTTTTCCAGTTTAGAAAGGGTCAAGTCTCTGTAATTGATGTCACTGCTGTCTTCACGAAGACAAATGGACTGTCATTTTCTGGAATGTTCCATTAGAAACACAGAGATGGAAGAAACCCTGCTCATGGGAAGGCTTGCACCCAGGCCTCACAAACCCTGCATCTTTGACTGTTCCCAACAGGCATCTTGCAGGGTCCATGGTGAAGCAGATGCAGAAGGATCTACTTCAGTTTATACCCAAGAGAAACAAAAGGCTCGTGCATGCCCAAGCCTTTCTCCCTTTGTCTGCTTATAGAGAAAGAGAAGTTTTTCATCATAGCACACTGAGTTTATGGGGCTGAAAGAAAGGGCCTAGACCATCTAGCACACCAAGAAACATGAGGCAGAAGCTCTTTCAGGACACTGTAATTCCAGCTACTGTAGTTTAGCTAAACCTTAACAACAGACTGGAGAGTGAAACTGAAAGTCCGGAAAGGCCAGGGGATGGGAGAGCCTGCGGAGGTGTTCTCTGGCCGTCTCCTTCCACTGCAATGCAGTCCTCACGCTGCCTTCAGCACTGAGGCGCACTCCACCTCCACTCAGAGTTCTCTGAGGCTCAGACATCCTAGGAAGAGCAGGCGATGCCTAGCAGGATCTCACCTGCCTGCTTCTCTTGACCTCATTCTCTCACCACCATCTTCCTCTCCCTCAGTACCACACATACCCTGGTTTCAGCCAGATGAAACATTTACTATTTACCCCTAGAGTGCTCCTCTTGATCACAGTTTAAGACCCAGAGGAAAAGCTTTTTGGTCAGTTTTCATTGATCCTTCCCCCAAGTCCACTGGACTCCTAAGCAGAAGACTTAGTTGCCTCCTCTTAGGTGTTCGCGTAACACCTCTACTATGTTCAAACCTTTTCCCATGTGAGATCATCACAGATAACAGCTTTCATGGCCAAAGCGTAAGTCCTTAAACAGAGGAACTATTATTTTTCACTTCCACATCCCAGCACTCAGCATACCTCATGGCACAAAGCAAGCCTCAGAAAATGTTTGTTGAATGAGTGACTAACTGAATTAATAGGATTGTGTTATTCTCCATTCCTCACCCAAATCACACTTAGAGTACTTATTTTCTTAAACCTTCTGCTTTGACACAAATCCATCCCATAATAAAGCACAATTAACCTGTGAGGAAAAAGCAGAGACCTTAGGATAATGTTTGAATGAAATATGGCTATCTCTGGAGTCCTCTTTTGGTCACCCGATGGGAACAGACTTGCAAGAATGTTGTTAAACATTCTAATCATAAAGTAACCAAGCTCTTAGGCTTTCTGACGTCCCCACTCTCCTCTACTCTAAGAAGAAACAACTAGTTTACAATACGATTTTCTCTATTTAGCTCCTGCATAGCCTTTCAAGTTCTCCTTTTCATTCACCCATTTCACAAATATTTATTAGGCACTAATCAAATACTAGACGCTGTTTTAGGATCTAGGGATATAATAATAAAACGACAATAATCTCTCAATGAACTTTTTATTCTAATGGCAGAAGAAGCTAATAGATAAGTAAAATATGTAGTACTCCTGGTAGGTCCTAAGGAGTAAAAATGAAGGAGGGAAGGAAGACAGAAAGTGTCAGGGGAATTAAAGTGTTAGATATTAACAGAATAATCAAAGAGGTCCTTCCTGACACTTGAGTAAAAATATGTAAAATGGAAAGGATCAAGCCATGCAGATATTATCCTGGAGAAGAACATCCTGGGCTGAAGGAATCACAAGGGCAAAGGTTCTGAGGTGGGAGTGTGGCTGGAATGCTCAGGAAACAGCCAAGAAGCCACCATGGCAAGATCAGGGTGAGCCAAGGAAAGCATGTGGGTGATGGAGTGGGAAAGGAAAAGGTGGCTGCAGGAAGAAAGGAAGCCACAGAGCTGAGAATCCAGGTTTCAGAAGGGTCAGATGTGCAGATGTCGACATCCATGCAAGTTTTGACAGGAGGGCTGGCTAATGTGGCCATGCCCCAGGATCCAAAGTGTTTCAGAAGTAAGGGAAGGGATGCCGTAAGAGTCAGACGATGACAGCAGCATTGACAGAGGTGAGTGATTCATTCTGTGGATACTGGATTCAAATGTGAGCGATTTTACAGCAGAGGGAGAAAAAGGGGTTTGCAAATGGCAATGAGGAGAGAGGATGATGTCTACCCCTCTTGGAGGTCCAGGGTTAGGAGGGGCATGTGAGAGAAAGCAGCAAGGAGTGAGCCTTGTGGGGGAGGCAGAGTCCTCAGTGCAGAGCCAGGTGTCAGACAGAAAAGGAAGCAAATGGAAAGAAAGCCTGGAGAAGAGGCTGTGGATGTTGTGGATTTTTCTGATGGCTGACTTTGAATAGCAGATGGCCCAGGAAAAGGATTTCAGGTTTAGAAATGGTGGGAGAGGGAGAAAGGAAAAGCAATTCTCTTCTTATTCAGTTCCTTTAGGGACTCCCCTGGTTGCAGTTTTATTTTCATCTTTTCTAATCCATTCCTCCTAACCTGCTCCGTCTTATTTTTCATTACTAGTAATTTTCCTTTCTGTGCCTTATGTCTCTGAGCCTTCTTTCCATCTTATCTTTCAAACTTTCCTTTAGATGTGGGCCATCTTTTTTCTGAAGCTTCCCTCTTTTTTTGTTGTTCCAATGTTTAATCCTTCTTTCTAAGAATAATCCATGTGGTTGTTTGCTTTGAGGATGCTTTGAAAGCCTCTGAAATTACTCCAAGGAATAATGCTCTGAGTGTTGCTTTGCAGACTCACATCTTTGGTGCATAGCAATGTCCCTTTCCTCACCTGGACTTTGACAGGTTCCATCCAGTGCTCCAGAGTGTCAGCAGTGATGTTCTCAGGCAGCGTCACGGGATCACTGGGGGGGATTACACACAGCGGGGAACACACTGCACCTGAAAGAATAGAAGATTTCAACAGACTTGAACTTCCCAGATCTCATTCTTTTTCTTTCAGGAATCAATACCTTTGAGTTTTTAAAGAACAACTGCTTTCATTATGGGTCACCATATTATGATGTTGTAGGCAGGACTGTTATTCATCTACTGTGTTTATGTAGGGGTACTTTCATACTAATTAGTGAAGAGACTCTGCCCCAACCTAACCACGTGCCCCAAGTGTTCTCTCTTCTGTCTTGTTCAGGATAATCCCTCCTCTGGAATGCCTGAATTTCTGCATGGTCTAGTAATTGAAAGGTTAACTCCTGGCCCAGCTGGCTTCCAAGACCCTCTCCAGGACTCTAGCTAGACAAAGTCTATCCTGATTGGCTCATGACTTTTAAGTATATTTAATATCATTCCTGTTTACATGGTCTCCTGGAAGCTTATAATTTTAACAACTACTACCAAAGAACTTGACATGGTGGTGGTGGTGGTGGTGGTGGTGGGTGGTGGGAAGTGGCCCAGAAATTATAAAATTACTCCAGAGACTATTCTATCTGTTGCTGCACTAAAGATAATTGCACTGGCAGCCAATAAACCTATTTGATTAAAGGAGGAAGCAGTGAAGAATCAGAAGCAGAGACTTTTGCCATGTGTTGATCTCTTGCAGAAAAATCTTGTTTTATTCCCTTGCACACAGGGTCCAAATGTCTCCTAAAATTATGTAAAGAGAAAACACCCTCTTTAGGTTCTCTACTTCCTCATCTATACATCTGATGATTTCCAAGTTTCTTTTTAGTTGTATCTATGTGTAAAAACTAAAATAATATTTTGATTTTAAAATAATCAAAAGAACCACATCCCTCTTAAGAATTCTAGATATGTGAGTATATGATATTTTAATGCAGAAATTAGAGGCTTGGAGAATGAGAATCTGTTTGCGAAAAAAGATGTGCCAACACTTTGGGAGGTGGAAGTGGGTGGATCACCTGAAGTCAAGAGTTCAAGACCAGCCTGGCCAACATGGTGAAATTCCATTTCTACTAAAAACAAAACATCAGCCAGGTGTGGTGGTGGGCACCTGTAATCCCAGCTACTTGGGAGGCTGAGGCAGAAGAATTGCTTGAACCCAAGAAGTGGAGGTTGTAGTGAGCTGAGATTGTGCCACTGCATACCAGCCTGGGTGACAGAAGAAGAGTCTGTCTCAAAAAAAAAAAAAAAAATGTGCTACTCAACAGGCACATCTGAATTCCCTGATACTCTATGTCTGACCACAAGACATCACTGTGCAAAGAGCACCTTGAAAATGGTAATGGGCTTCCTAATTAATGCGAATTATACTCATTGGCATTGGCTAGAATATCTGATAAAATTACTCCTTGCTAATACAGTTCAGAATTTAGGAGTAATCTTACAAGGTTTCGCTACAACTACAACTCTTTTCAGCTACAACTCTTTCTTATGATGTTTAGGGCCAGCCAAGGCAAAGTTAACATCACTATAAATCATCTCTGGCCATAAAGACCTTTAGTTATAATTGCTTGAATAAGAAGTTGTCCACGGCTCTGGAGCCTAGTCCCCTGCAGAGAAATAATGGTTGAAGAATGATGCATGAAAGAGAAATCTCAATTCATCCCTTTCAGTAATTATCCACTCCAGTAACAACCACAGAGAATGGAGGAGACCAGCAGACACATGCTATGTGGCTACACAGTCCCACCTTTCATCCTGGAACTACAAACCATACCACAAATCCATCTGGTCTAGGCCCCGCAAAATTGCCATAAATCTCATTTTTACTGAAGCAGCTAAGAGTCAACTTGCATTTCTATCTACTCAGAACAGTGTATCTGATTCAAGATTCTGCTGGGTGGGCTGAGCGCTATGGCTCATGCCTGTAATTCCAACACATTGGGTGGCCAAGATGGGTGGATAACCTGAGGTCAGGAGTTCAAGACCAGTCTGGCCAACATGGTGAAACCCCATTTCTACTAAAAACACAAAAATTAGCTGGGTGTGGTGGTGGGCCCCTGTAATCCCAGCTATTTAGGAGGCTAAGAATTTCCTGAACCCGGGAAATGGAGGTGGCAGTGAGCTGAGAGTGTGCCACTGCATACCAGCCTGAGTGACAGAACAGGAGTCCATCTCAAAAAAAAAAAAAAAATCAATTGGGCTTAATAAAAGGATAACATGGAAGCAGACTTTAAGATTCACTCCTATCCTTACCAATCCCGTATCCTTGTTCACATTTGTACTCCACGGAATTCAGCTCTGACGGAGGTGGTGGGCATTCTCCTTGCAGATTCTCACACAGCTTAAACTCCTGAGTCCACAGTCCCTCTTTAGTGCATAGGATAAGAAGCTACAATATCGAAGGTAAACATCTTCATTATTGTTTTGTTAAGTTTACTGAGAGTTGAAAAAAGTGGCGTGATTAAGTCATAGTGTTCTCTAGTTCCAGAACCGGGACCAAAAGACACTATTGGAACAACAGGTTGTTACTGGCCAAAAAAAAAAAAAAAAAAAAAAAGCCAAAAAAATTATTTGCTTTTTTCAGGCAGAGGAATGATGATGACAAGTTTTTTCCATTAATGAAATGTATTAACAATGTATTTTCATTTATATATAGGAATATAATGAGCTATCAATCAAAGCTCATGGATTCAGAGCTATTTTTGGAATTGTTTCCCAGATGGTGTCGTTTTGCACTGATTCATTTGTACTATCACACAAATGCTGCTTGTGGCAAATGTCAGATTTTTTCAAGATGAGTTTCACTGAGTGAAACCAATTCATGTTTCCTAAAGGTGTGCTTTTGCCTTTCTGCTTGAATGGAAACATCATAGTTGCTTTTGGTCTCACCAAAATTCCATTCCCTTTCTCCACATGTGTGCTGATTTGTGTAACCCTTGGTTCACAAATTATACTCTATCTAGAACACAGAGAGTAGCACTAACTCTCAAAATTCAAAAAATTAAGATTTTTGAAAAGTAGATAGCCCTTCCTTCATGTGGTCATCTCAATGGTTCCTTAACCAATCAGTGCAAACAGATGTGCTTGATTTCTCATGGGTCTCATTTTGGACCATATTCTTTTCACCTCTGTTCGGTGGTGCTTACCTTGGAGTACCGGAAACTAAGAGAACAGGTCCAAAAGGAGCAGTCAAGGACATTGATCTTTGCCTGGGAAGTCTGCCTGACTTTCTATCTCATGTATGTGTGTGGTGCTTGAAAAGATTCTAAAATAAAATTGCCTTTAGTCACACAACCAAGATAAGACTGTGTTTTTCATTTGAGACCCTTTGTGGCAGAATCCTAGGGAAAAGAATAGTCAAAGAGCACTTCCAGCTTTGCTGAGGAATTTGTGTTTCTGTTCAGGACTCTGTTCTGGAAAAAAAATAATACTAGGTTTTCTAGCCAACTTTAATCAGTGGCCATCCATGAGAGGAGATCATATTGCTAAATCAGGATCCCCACATTCTTTTTGGAATCCACCTGGTACCCTACCCACTGGATTCTTCTTCTTGTCTCAGAAGAAGTTCTGAACTCAGGAGAGAATATTCCAAAAATGTGGTCTTTTCTGAATTTTCTATTGCATAATACCAACACTCCTGATCACAATCCCAAGTCCCTGGCTGTTGGAATTCCGTAGAAATTTTATTTCTTCTCAAATTTCTTGGACTGGCCATCAAGATTAGAGCACAGCCTGATCCAAAATAAGTTCAAGTAGTCTTCCTTACCTTTTCACTTTCCTTGTTACAGTTGAGCACACACTGGCTGTCCAGGTTGAAGCCATTGGTACATTCATACATGCCTTCAAACACAGGAGTAGGTGGCTCACACACCACAGGAATGCAGCTGCCTTGCTCCCAGATACCACCTTCCAGGCATTGTATCTTCAGGAACTTGCTGATAAAATATAAAACGAAATGGCTCATCAGAATCTCTCAAGAAGTCATGAAAGAAGGCTTGATTCTCAGCAACATGGGATAAGAATTAGCAAATAGGCAGGGACAGATGGTTCCTGTGAGCCAAATGTCCCACTGTTCCAGGCTAATTTCTAAGTCATGGAACTAACAATAGTAATGTTCATTTATTACTCGAAGTAGTGGTAGATGTTGTATAAAAATATTTGACCTATTACTCTTAAGAGAGTTTGATAAATAGTGCAGCATCTAAATTGCAGTTTGGTTTTCTCTGAGACTTTCATCTTGGAAAATATTCACATCTAAATACAATGAAATGTCAGGTAGGATGGGGTACAGAAAAGGTTATCACACATTCAGAAGACTGATCAGAAGTGATTTGAGGATCATCAGTGTTGATATGGCAATATAACTGATGAAGTTGCTACTGTTTATTGGTTCTTCAGAGAGAGGAGAAAGTGCAGCAATATGAGTCTTCTTTTAAAATAGAGACTCTGAACCTAACTTTCAGAAGGATAATAACTTCTGAGATGACTGCTTCATTTGTTTACAAGTTAAAGGTATGAAAGAGTTCATAGCTTTCACCAGTTTCTCAAAGTAGTCATGACTCAATACCGGCCTGGAAGAATTGATCCTCCTTCTCAAGCACAGACATGGTCTCCAACCAGAGAGACAGCATTTCACGTCAACTGGAGTCAATGGAATTAGGGTCCTTGCTACTGAAAATTCCATTCCATTCTCCTTTTCACTCACTGCAGTTTGAAAGTGCTTTCCATGTTGCTGTTTTAACATGTTCACTTCTAATGCAAAATACTCCTGGTTACAGATAAGTTTGTAATTCTAAAATATAAATAACCCTTTGACCACTGATTCTTTCAACCATGTGGTAACGTTACCATTTTCTAGTGTAATTATGCCCCTTTGAAGGTTAAATATGCCCACCAACTTGTGCTTGTTGTCTTCTGACTGCTGTGCAGTTCCTCTTGTGGGCTTCCATAGCACTCTAACCTTATGCTAGTGAAACATTTATCACACTGTTTTATAAATGCACACGTGACTGTCTTTCCCATCAGACTGGAAGCTTCCAGAAGCCAGAGGATATGTGGTTGTCTTGTTTTTAATTCATTCTCAGCAAACTGACACAAGAACAGAAAATCAAACACCATATGTTCTCACTCATAGGCGGGTGTTGAACAATGGTAACACATGGATACAGGGAGGGGAGCATCACACACTGAGGTCTGTGGGGGTGAAATAGGGGAGGGACAGTGGGAGGTGGGGAGTTGGGGAGGGATGGCATGGAGAGAAATGCCAGATATAGGTGATGGGGAGGAAAGCAGCAAACCACACTGCCATGTGTGTACCAGTGCAACAATCTTACATGCTCTTCACATGTACCCCAAAACCTAAAATGCAATTAAAAAGAAAAGGAAAAGAGAACTAAAATAATATCCGGTTTACATTCAGCATTAAATAAATATCTTCTGAATAGAATCATTGAATTGAAACTAACACCCTGTTAGGTACATTGCAAGGCACATTTGAGAAGTACCAAGTTGAATCATTATAATACTAATAAAATCATGTTTCTATTTCCATTTTATAGAAACATACTGAAGTATGTCAAGCAATTTGTCCAAGATGTTACGTCACAGAATTCATTTAACTTCAAATAATTTTAATAAAATATTTTAATAGTTTAACATATATGAATAATATATATTTAGAAATAAGTGGAATGTTTTATTATTAAATAATTATTTAGATTCATATCTTTATTCCTAAGACATTTTGCAATAGAAATCTAATTTTTGGCTGGGCATGGTGGCTCACTCCTGCAATCCCAGCACTTTGGGAGGCTGAGTTGGACAGATTACTTGAGGTCAGGAATTTGAAACCAGCCTGGGCAACATGGCAAAACTCTCATATCTACAAAAAATATAAAAATTTGCCAGATACGGTGGCACGCACCTGTAGTGCTAGCCACTGGGGAGGCTGAGGTGGGAGGATGGCTTGAGCCTGGGAAGTTGAGGCTGCAGTGAGCCAGGATCATGCCACTGTACTCTAGCCTGGGTGATAGAATGAGATCATGTCTCAAAAAAACAAATCTGATTTTTTTGAACTGGAATTTTTTAGCATCATAGTCTGTGTGGACATGTATCTTCTAGCTATTAAAATGAATACCATTTTTGAGCTATATTTCAAGTGTTTGAAATATGTATTTCAATAATGTACCTATGTATATTGTTTTATTTACATATATTTTTATTTATTTTTTTTTAAGAGATGGAGTTTCACCAGGTTGGCCAGGCTGATCTTGTACTCCTGACTTCAGGTGATCCACACGCCTCGGCCTCCCAAAGTGCTGGGATATCAAGCATGAGCCAACATGCCTGGCAGTGAATACAGCTGGGTAACCACCAGGCAGATCAAGATGCAGAGTACGTCCATCCCCTAAGAATTCCCCCTTGCATTCCTTCCCAGTTAAAATTCTCCCACCCTCACGGCATACAGTATTTTGCAACACCACACTCTTCTGACTTTCATCAGCATAGAGGAGTTTTGCCTGGTTTTGAACTTTATATAAATGAAATGTACTGCTTAGTAAATTGCTTCTTTCCCTCCAGAAAGATGACATTTAAAAATGCCTTTCCAAATTCAATGAAGAGCTTGCAGCTCTTTTTTACTCTAACGAGGCTCCTTTTTGTCCCTCTCCTAGAATGGATATTTTACTCCTCCTTCACACTGCAGAGTTTTTATCCTCCCAGGGACTCTCTTCTTTCTACCACCTCCCACAGATGAAATCCTTCCCCTATCTCTGCTGAACTGACATCCCCCAGCAGGAGAGAACAGGCAATACCACTGACAGCAGGGGAGAGGCACGACTGTAAAAACCTTGCATGTCAGCATGGTTATAAAGGAAAACCCTTGCTTGGCCAGGAAGATCATATTTTGACTTCATGTGGTATTTTTCTCTGAATTGGTTGGAATACTTCAACCATGGAAATAGTCTTCCCTTTCCTTGCCCAGAGTTAAAGAGCCATTCGAGAATGCCAAGTTCATATATTTCCCTGCCAGTTTAATAACCTCTGGGGTGAGAGCAGACAGATCAAACTTGGATGGGGAAGAAGAATGTAGCCTTCCATTGTGGTACCCAGACAACGCGACAGGTCCTGTGCTACAAACCACCAGCAGCACAGGGAGGGCGATGGCTAGAAGGTGGAAAGAGAACAGCGCAGCTATACTCCCACGACCCCGATGGACAGGAGGCATGGCAGGCAGGAGCTGAGAGAGGGCGGCAGAGAGAGAGAGAGTACCGATTCCCTCGGAGGATCTGTTTTCTTTCTGCAGGGGTTCCTTTGCCCCTCTCAGCTTTAAGGATTCTCTTTCCTCACAGTTTCTTCTCCCTTCTGTAGAAGACAGCTTTGCCCTATCATCTCTCCATGGACCTCCCAGGGCTTCTGCATCTCTCTACATCAGACAACCAACAGTCTCGAAGCCCCACCCTCAGCCTTCTAGCAAAGCACTTGCTAGGTTAAGTTTCTTGGGGCCCAATTGTGAGGACTGTCTCATTCTGCCTTATGTTCATGTCGGGGATCCTAGCTATAGTGCAAGTCTTGAGATTTTATGGTATGGAACTTGGCACTTCAGTGCTATGAGCTGGTTCTGGCCATTTTGTTCCAAAAGAGACAGTGATTGTGCCAGGAATTTAGAATGTTCTGGATTCTTCCCAGTTCCAGGAAATTTGGTTTCCCCATAGGGCCCTTGAAGAAGACTGAAGTCTAAATCTTGCCAGCCATCCTGCTCATGTTTTTGTTACCTAGTTCTGTGGACTAAATGTTTGTGGACCTCACAAACTCATATGGTGAAATCCTAATGCCCAATGCGATGGTATTTTGTGGGTGGGGTGTTTGGACGGTAATTAAGTCACAAAGGTAGAGCCCTCCCAGTTCCCTCGTGAGAAGACATGTGAGAGCTTGCCCTCTCTGTGCTCTACCATGTGAGGACACAGCAAAAGACAATCATCTGCAAACCAGGAAGGTACCCTCCCCAGATAAGGGATCTGCCAACACCTTGGCCTTCTCAAGCTCCAGACCTATGAGAAATAAACGTGTATTGTTTAAGCTACCCATCTATGGTGTTCTGTTACTGACTGAGACACAGCAGTGGATGAACTGGTCGCCAGTGCCTCTGCATTTCTTCTGGTTTGGTGATGTTGAGGAGTGCCCTTTGACATCTTTAAAATCATGAATGAAAAAACTGGTTTATTCACAATGATCCTTTGTGTACAGCTTACACATCAGGAGTCAAACGACTCCTTGAAGACATGAAGTGAACAGATTGCATTTCAAAGAATGATGGCATTGGATACTAGACAGACAGACAGATCCTAACTAGGACAGAGATTCCAAGACATCTTTGATAGCCCATGCCATGTACCTTCCATGTAAAACATTATACTGGCTGTCTATCAGCTAAAACATCTCATTTGTAGGCAGGAAATCACATTAGTAACCATGAAGTGATTTACCCAAGGTCACACAGAAATTCATAGATTTCAAAGTTTTCAAATCATAATATAACATTCTGATCATGAGATCAATGATTTCCAAGTTACATATGTAGACCAATCCCATCAGAATTATATAGAAGCCACTTAAAAAATCTAGATTGCTAGGCTTACTGAATTAAACCTCCTGAGACTGGCCTGGGACTCTGTGTCTTTAAGCTTGCCAGAAGTTTTTATGTGCAGCCAGGTTGGCAAACTACTAAGATTCTTGCTACCTTCACATGCTGGTAAGGTGTAGAAACCAGAGAGCAAAGATCATCCACCTCAAGCCTTATGACTGTCACATTTGGTCTTTGCTAAGCATCTAGCCTTTTGGCTAGGGTTGTTAGTTGGGTGTTCCTGCTCTGTGATTTCTTTCTTACTCTGTAAATGGTATCGTAAGGAGTTGGGGTTAGGGGAAGGTTTGTATTTAC